TGAAGCCAAAGTCCCGGGAGCCACCCTTGACCTATCCGAACCATACCCCCTGGCCACCACCATCACCGCATCTCCCACCGGGATGCCTGCAAGGACTGGGCTCCTCACTTCCACTCCCGTCCTCCACAGTCCACTCTCCCCGCAGCACTCGGAGAGAGCTTTTTCAAGGGTCAGTTGGGTCATGCCACTCACCTACTTAAAAAACCCCAATAGTTTCCCATCACACTGATCATTCATTTTGAATTTCTTGATCGGGCTGGGCCCTACAAGGTCCTGAGACACCTGGTCCTGCCTGCCTCTCCATCACCTCTTATTTGTCTTCCACTCACTCTCTTTGCTCCAGCCATACCACCTTCCTCTGTGCCGGGAACAAGTCAGGCTGGTTTCTGCCTCAGGGCCTTTGCACGTGCCATTGCCTTTCCCCAAGCTCTCCCCCTGGCTTCTTGGGGGCTGACTCATTCCGGCCTCGGCTCTCACAGGCCACCTTCGCAGTGAAACCTTTCCTGACGGCCCTATTAAAAGTGGCTTCCTTCCTCTACGGCCCCACCCAGTTTCATTTTCTTCATTACACTTACTCTAAAACAGTCTCGTTTTGCTGGTTTGTTTACTTGTTTACTGTCTGTCTCCCCGCTAGAAAATAAGGTCCTCACGGGCAGCCACCTCTGCCTTGTTCACAGCCGTCCCTCTGGGCCGTGAGTGGGCACCTGGCATGCACACGGTGCTCAGTGAGTGTGAGTTGAATGAATACCAGTAAATGGCTGTGATTTTTTCCAGCCACTCCACTAGGAGAAGCCACTCCACTAGTAAAAGTGGGAGGTGGGGTGGCGTGAACAGAGGTGTCTGTCTCTAGCACGGGCTCTTCTGTGCACCAATGGCCCCTGGAGGCTGGCCCTGGCACATGGAGCCCAGGAAGTGCCAGCGATTGGGACAGAACATCACAGCACAGAGAGCCACTCAACAGGAAGGAAAGCCACGTGGATTGTGTGTTCCACCCCTGCTGCCTGACGCTGAAGTGCCACAGCAGATCCCGCCCCGGGAACTGTGGAGGGACCGGCGCGCCTCAGACCCGCCCCTGGGCCCCTGGGCCTCTGGGTGCACTGACAACACCCTCCAGGTGGGTGGTTTGGCGGCCTGGCACCTGCTACCCGTTCTTCAAGCAATTGGACCCATCTCTTCCTTTTGGGGGCTTGCTCTGCCCCACTCCCAGGTCACACGGTCCAGGTTCGGCGAACCCCCCATCTCAGGAGTGGGGCCACAGACTCAAAGCTGGCCACTGGGTGTGCTATCTCCCTGGGCAGGTGGCTGCCAGTCTCAGTTCTGGCACCCATTTTGCCCGCCCCAGAACCAACAAGGAGACCTTCCTGGGGCGGGCCTGGCGTTGCAGGCTGGGCCGCTTCAGTGACATGAGCCAAATATTCCCTTTTCTTTTCAGCTGCCTGAGTGGCCCGGCTGACGCCCCCTCCCAGCTCATCCTTCACTGTCTTCCAACTCTGGCTCCCACCCCCGGCCCCGAGCCCACCCTGCTCTCTTGGAACTCCCCATTCCCACGGCCCAGAATCCCTTTCTTCAGCTCATCCACCTGGTAAACGCTATTCACCCCACCTTGGTGCAGGGGCCGCCGCCCCTGGTAGCGTCCCCGACTCCCGCACACAGAGGTGGCCGGCCACCTTTCTCTTCCCACCACCCCCAGTAGGTTTCTCTGGGAAACCTTTATTCACTAGGCCCTGCCCGCCTAAAATATTTTTGTCATGCTCTATTTGCCACGGTCATATTACGAAAATAGGGATTTTTTTTCCCTCACTCTTTAAGTACAAAATGATGTTTTAACAGTTCATGTAAATTTTCAATCAGTGCCTCTGCCTACCCCAGATGTTCTGAATGACTCCCCTGGGGAGATGTCTGCTCTACTCGATTGAAAAGCTGCAGCAAAACATCCCTCATTGATTCAGCAAACACCCGTGCGGCCCCCTCGGTGGCAGGCCTCGTGCCGAGCGCTGGACGTACAAGTTATGAAAGTGTGTGGTAATCGTCCCCGTGTCCGTATAAGCTAGGAGGACGCAGGGAGGATCCTGCCCAGTGGTCTCACCGACATTGGAAGCTGGCCTCAGAGGGGACCTTCCCTTCGTACTTGTTATCCTTTTAAAGTGGTGGGGTCGCGGGTGATTTTGACTTTCATAGTATTTTCATAACATTTCCTAGTGGTTCATCGGTGTGTCTGTTTCC